TGAGAGAGGAGGATGTCCAGAAGACTGCATACAGGACACATGAGGGGCACTACGAGTTCTTAGTGATGCCATTGGTCACACCAATGCTCCTGCTACCTTCCAGTCTCTCATGAATAGGATATTCCAACCATACCTCCAGAAGTTTGTACTAGTTTTCAGACGACATACTAATATATAGCAGGTTTGAGGAGGAGCATCTGGAGCATTTGAGGGTGATCTTAGGAGTTTTACAAGAGCATCAACTGAGAGTTAACCTAACAAAGTGCGGCTTCACACAGGCTAGTGCAGAATATTTGGGGTTGAGGAGCATAAGAGGCGGCTGTCCAAGCTGCTGGGCTATGATTTTGAGATCTAATACAGGTCAGGTTTGAAGAATTAGGCGATTGATGCCTTATCCACATGCATGGGGGAACGCCAGGAATTGGAAATGTTGATACCACTGATGTTGAATTATGGGGCCATCAAATAGAGAAGTAAGCATGATGAGAAGTTGGGAAAAAAAGGCAGATCTTTTGAAGGATAAGACCAGTCACCCGAGTTACTCTTTGGAAGGGGAGAGTTACTATAAACCATGGGAGGTTTGTGATGCTTAGGATCTCAGTTCATATCTCATTGCTACTGCAAGAATTCCATGGGAGCGCTGTTGAAGGTCACTCAGGCATACAAAATACATACAGAAGATTGGTAGCGGAGCTGTATTGGATGGGGATGCAAAAGGATGTGGAAGAAATGGTGGCTAGATGTGCCAGAGGAACAAGTACATGGCCATGACTCCTGGGGGGCTACTTCAACCACTAGCTTTATCAAATATGGTGAGGGAGGAGGTCACTATGGACTTTATTAAGGGACTACCACGATCAGAAGGGTTTATGGTGATCCTAGTGGTAGTTGATAGATTGATCAAGTATGCTCACTTCATTCCCCTAAGACACCCTTTCACAACAGTGAAAGTAGCGACGCCATTCATTAGAGAGGTGGTCAGATTACATGGATTACCAGAATCCATAGTGTCCGACAGCAACAGGGTGTTCCTCAGTCATTTTTTAAGGGAGTTGTTCAGATTGCAAGAAATAGTGCTGAAGAGGAGCACCACCTACCGTAAGACAAATTGGCAGTCATAAGTGGTAAACAGGATCTTAGAAACATACCTACGATATTTTGCTTCCGAGACACCTAGATTGTGGGTGTAGTTAGCATGTGAAGAATACTTGTACAACACTTCTTATCATTCAGCATGCCAAATAACTCCTTTTAAAGTATTGTATGAAAGAGAACAACCTCACTTGGTACATTTTGGACAAAGAAGCATGTCAGTTTCCTCAGTAGAACAATATTTGGAAAAATGAAACAGGGTGTTAGATGAGTTGAAAAGACATTTGTTGAGAATTCAGTAGATTATGAGAAGCAGGCGGATGAGGACATGAAAGATATTCAATTTGATGTGGGAGACAAAGTGTACTTGAAGATACGCCCCTACAGATAGAGGACAACAGCTCACAGGAGGAATGAAAAGCTAGCCCCGAGTTATCGGCCCTTATAAGATAGTAGAGAGGATTGGAGCTATGGCTTATTGACTGAAGTTACCCCCGACCGCTACTATATACCCGGTGTTCAACATATCATAGTTGAGAAGAGCTGTTGAGAATCATCCAGCCAGTTCAGAGGGACATTAATAACAAATCTAGAGGTACTGTTGAAACCACTGGAGCTAAAAGAGGTATGACAGGGATATGATGAAATCAAGGAAGTGCTGATAAAGTGGAAGAACCTACATGACTATGAGACCACCTGAGTTCGGTATTGATGGATCGGCATTTGTCTACAGGAGGCGAATTCCAGCAATAAATCAAGGCTTTAATGGGGAATTAAAGAGAATATAGGAATGAAATTCAAATTAGAAGGCCTGTTTGGGTAGTTTACTGAAGGAATTGTATGTTTAAATGCATGGGGAGGCTAGGGTTATGTTTTTATCTCTGATTTGGATAAAAAGTGAAGGTTCTTATGTCTTGAGTGGGCTCTAGCAACGTCTAGAGATTTGGGAGAGTCGAATCTTCCTCTCCAATAGAAGATCCATTGTATCTTGTTGATTTTCTTCATCTAATGTTAATCAAAAGTGCAATTTCTGGTTTTCTCCATCCAAGTTCTTTGCAATTCTTGTTTGCCCAATTGCTGAAATTAAATTTCAGCGAGTAATTTTTCTGGTTTTCTACAAGGGATTCCTATCATGATCCTATACTTGCATCTTTTTAATTGGTCCATAAACAAAATTTGTAAATATAGATTCATGTGGATTAACGAAGTGCTTAAGTTAGCTCTTAATGCATATATTCAATTATTTTAATGTTCAAATAATTATACAAAAAGATTGCCTAACCATAATAGTACAATTTTCTTGAATTTTTATTAGGATGGATTTGACATACAATATTCAAAAAAGTATTTTTGTAGTCGTTATAAGCCTGGTTTGCAAATCATCTTCACCATATCCTAGGGAATGTTGCACTCTATCTATAATTTTCTCCTATTTTTATAGACATTGTAGATATGAAAATAAGGGGTTGCTTACTAAATTGAAATATCTTAGGAAATTGATATATATCGGTACGAGTAGATTTTCTAAGATCTCAAGTGTCCGTTTTGCAAACCGTTTTCATAAGAGCATTCTAGACATGTTATTCTACTTTATAAATATTTTTTTATAATTTTTAGAGCTCCTAATTTCAAGTTATAAAAATATCCATATAAACTTTATGCTTAAATCTAAACAATTACTATACTTACAAATCTACCATAGCCTTATATTATTATAAAAATCCTAACCCACTACAGAATCCTTACATATCCATTTCATTTTGCCTAAATAGTGGAGGAAAAGGAAGAAAAATAGAGAAAAAGAGAGGAGAGATAAAGTAAAGATTCATAGGTCTTCAAGTTATTTCATCTGTCAAGCCAGTTGAAAAGTTTGTCCAGTTCGAGGTAGGTTATCTTTATCAAATTTTAATTTTTAATAATTTTATTGTTTGTGACTGTATTTAATCTGAACAAACTTCATAAAAATTGAGGACAATTTTTACTGTGTAAATTTTAGTATGTTGTTTCTCTAGTCATTTTGCACATATAGATATAAATATTTTGAACTTCCACAAGATATTTCACATTGTTTTGACAAATTTTAAAAATTTGATAAAAATTTATGTAAAATATTGAAAGCATCGTTATGAAGCTATAAATAATGTATGTAGTCGTGTTGTATGCTTCATGCACATTGAGTTGAATATAATGATAAATCTTATAAATTTTACTATTTCTCGTAGTTGCAAAATGTAAATTATTTTCTATTGTTATGTATTGACATAAATTACTTCAATTCATTTAAATGTTAATTCAACCGTATTGATTTATTCAAAAATATTTGTGTAAGAAAATGATGTGTCATTTACAAATTATTGGAGATCATGTATAAATATTTATGGGGAAATATAAGGGCCTAAATATATGAATTGTGCTATGCACAAGGAGTCATAAGAACTTGAATGAAGGCATAAGTACAGAGAGCTAAAGGGCCTAATATTGTATATATGTACATGAGAGATATAAGGGCCTAATGATGAATATGTGAAGTAATTGGGAGGTATAGGGCCTGAGAAGAAATTTATGTGATGTGTTTTATTTTAGTTATATTTATATTGTAATCTAACACACGTCTTTATAGTAAATTTCTATTTTGACATTTGACTTAATATAGCAATATATTGGACATGTTAAGATATTGTATTTAATAATTAATATTACTATCATGAGCATTACTATAAAAATTCTATAATTATAACATGCTTTGTCATTTATGACGTAGTGATAGAATAACATATTTATTTACTATTTTTTTACATATTATAAATTTAGGTAGATTTCGTACTACCTATTAAGCGGTTGAAGCTCATTCCTACTTTGTCTACATGTGTTTATTTCAAGACAGTGAAAGGAAAATGAATGGGTTGAGTAAAGATATAGTTGATATATTCCTATTTATAGGTGTCTTTTGTTGTTATTTTTGAAATCATAATGATATTATAGAATCAATGTTTAAAATTGCGTATTCGGGTATTGAGGCGTTTTTCATTCGTGAGGCGAGGCGTAAGCCTCAAGGCGTTTTGAGGCATAAGCCTCAAAATCAAAAGATTGCGTAAACATAAAATGATAAATTTTTTATATACTAATGAGTGAATAATATAAAACATAAAAAAACATAAGATATGAAGTGAAATCAAAATATCCCAATAATAAGACAACATGAAATATAGTTCAACTCAAAATTCTATCTTTCCCAAATCCCAGTATTCTTTTCATTAACATATAGTTCAAATTTCCAAAATAAATAGCAATGACATATCACATAAGAACTCATAAGTCATCAGCACTATCATCACTAAGTGGTTCTTCATTTGAATCATCATTATGATGAACTGCTCTCTCCCCTTCCTCCTCTCCTATAGAGTCAAATGTCGGGCATTTACTTCAAGATTTATGTAAGTTTTAATATATTTAGCGTGAGGCGAGGCAGACCTCAACCAAGTTGAGGCGCAAGCCTCATAACAAAACTCGAGGCGTAAGCATTGAGGCGTTTTTTACTGGAATTGCGCAAAGGCGAGCCTCATATTGTGCAATTTTAAACCATGTATATAATGATGGATAGAAATAGAAGTACCATGATTGTTGTAAATGGATATTTTTATTATATAGCCTTATGATATTAACTAAAAAAAAGTTGATGATTTTATTTATTATATTTTAATGATGTTAGTGGATTTATATTATATATATACATATATGAGAATTCATTCCAAATAGATCTTAGATACTATTTGTTGTGCATCTAAATATGATGTGACCTATTCGATATAAGAATTGGACATTTTGGATCATGACACAAACAATCACATCAGTTTCATTTAAATCATTAGCTACATACATAAAGAGAAGAGTTCAACGAATAAGCTTACACTGTGTTTCTTGTTTCCACGATCAAAGGAATGCACGACGCCTTCGTAGAACCTGTGTATGATCACAAATACAAGAAGAAATTACTAGACCTTACGAAGAAAATAATATTTGTATATTTGACAAATATAATTTGACAGCAACAATTAGTTCGTATAATTGACAGCAACAATATTTGATATAAAATAAAATTTCCATTTAAACTAAATTTATTATTCAGGACCTGCCAAAGCTGATAAATATAAATAAATAGCTAACTAAATTACTTACATGTTATCTAAAGGCCACCAAACTTTAATTCTAGATCCAACCAGTTCTCCATTGGGCCGAGTCTTCTTTGATGAACTCTGAAAATATGGAAGAATTAGTCATATCCTTGAGAATATAATAAAACTCACCACCAAACTCAAAGAAGTTCTCTTTTTTCCATAGAGTTCCTCTACAGATTTTCTATCTAGTCCTTGTTTTTTCATATTTATCATTTTAAATCCTTTTCAGGAAACATTTACACCTCAAAAAGAGAATTTCTCCATCATCATTCCTGGGTATGGACAAGCTCCAACAAACAAAATAGGTGTTAAATTAGTTGTTCTGTTGCTGATGAGAAGTCAAATATTCTGATACATATAGGCGGATGAGATCAGAAGCAAATGCAGATTAACGTTGAATCCCAGCAGTACCGAGCTTATTTAGTAAAATATGATGTGTATTAATTATTAAACAAGTATTGAAAGGTAATTGAATTATACAAAGTTTATTCTTGAATTTAAACTTAAAATATACACTATTTAATTGAAATCAAAATATAAATATAGGAATATAAAACTTAAAATATTTGCATCATATTTTTGAAGTTTAAAATATACGCATTTTTCCATGCTTATTCAACTATGTAACGAGGACCACAATTGATAACCATGCTGAAGCAAATAGTAGAAGTATCATAAACAAAATCCAAACAGAGTACTAATGAATAATAATGGAGGACCATATCTCTCTATTTCACACTCATGGTAGACTAGTGTAAAAATAATAATAAAAAAATACCAAACTACCATCATTTTCTATTCCCCATGGGATTTGAGTAAAACAATACCTTCGACAAGCCAGAGATACTTCTAACTTTACGTTTTTTTGCAGAACTGCCACTACCTTTCTTGTGAGAGCCTTCTGTGACAGAGACGTTCTGAAACCAGTATGAATTTTGAAACAAAAAGGTCATTAGAACCATAGAACAAAGTAATCATCAGATGATACAGAATACAAGGAATAGACTTCACCTTCATGTCAATCACGGAAACTTCATCAGTATATGATCGATCTCCTTTTTTCTTTCCACGCCTAGATGTGCTTTGTATTTTTGGCAAAGAGGAAAGCAAAAATTCTGATTCTATTAAGGAAACATGCTGCTTCTTATCCAGGTTCGAAGAGGGGGATCTGTGAATACTGCTTGACCTTTTGCGTTTAGGAGTTGGAGCAACCACGCTGCTAGTTGCTTGACTCGCTTCACTTCGTTTTCTTTTCTGACTACCATGTTCCATACTCCTAGCTGCTTTTATGGTGTCCAAATTGATTTCTCGCACCATTCCAAGAACATCAACATCTTCATCTTTACTTTTCAAATCAAAATTCGAAGTTTGTCCTTTTGCTTTTTTCTTTTTAGTTCCCTGGCATTTAAGAAGTTTCATCATTTTTCCCAGAGGAACATCATTATCATCGTTGTCTTTCTCCAAGAGTATTTCATCCTTGTTGATAACTGAGAGAATCTGGAAGGTTCAATAGAACTATGTTACAAAGATGTTTATATACAGAACAAATCTCTTAGCATCAAATAGGATAAGCAATAGTTATAAATGCACATTAACCTGTTCTTTATCCTCAAACATAAGAGCTTCAAAATGTGCCAACGCACTTTCACCACTCAGCCAAGACTGCTCGCCATTGATCTGAAAGAAGATAGCAATACATTTACATAAATTATCCCCACAAAATAAAGTTCATGGTGTTTACATTACTGCCAATATTATCACTTATTAAAAGCAAAATCCAGAAAACAAAAGCACAAACGTAACAAATTAATAAACCAAAAAAAAAACCGTGCAGATCCAGGCATTTACATCATATAAAATTGGAAGACGCTTTGCATCAACATAACTCTATTGTGTCTTGCTTTCTAATATATCCATGGTGGTTATTATTTCCTTCATTTATGTTAATTCATTGCTCTCGAGCATGTAATTTCCTCAACAACTAGAATCAAAGCCAGGCTCTTTGGATTTCTACAGGAAAAATGGGACAAACGGCATAAAAAGATGGGAAGGTGAGGACCGACGAATTTGATGACAAGGACTTTGAAGTTACATATACCTCTCCCGAAGTCAAAAGTCACGACCATCTATCAGAAAAATTAGGATCACCTGGACAGACTAATATTACAAGTTATAAACCTATCATCAACAAAGAACATTTACTAAATGGAATAGAGATAGAGACCATGATAGTCTGGGACAACGGAACTATGAGATCTTGATCATGCCCATCATCATTCCCTCATCACCTGCTTTAAGTACACGATGATAAATTTCAAATTTTGGAAACCCTGAAAACCCCATTTCTAAACCCTAAAATTATTGTTACTATATACTGGATACTTAAGTGTCTATCTAATGACTAACCTTAATCGAAAGTTCTCTCTCATTACTGGGAGGGGTAATAAACCATAGGGGCTCGCGCCTATCAAAAACCATACCTCAGATCATAAAGTCCTTGCAAAATGAGGGTGAAATCTCTAGGCAGTGTCTTATCTAAAATACAATCTGCCTTCTGAAAAAATGTACCTCAAAACCTAATTTGTTATAACTTTCCTCGTCAACAAAAAAATCACGTAGAGGCCGGGGCTCGAATTTTTAGAGCCCACATGTCTATCTTCATAATATGAATTAATAGTTATACAATAAGGCATTAGAATTGGCCTTTTCTTCAAATAAGGAATCAAATCCCACTTGGACACTTCATGGGCACAGTTCAAGCACATCAGGAACACTTATAGGGGAAAGCAATGTCACTCTAGCCTGATTAGATCTCAAATCAAGCTTCGTATCCATTCTCTCTCTCTCTCTCTCTCTCTCTCTCTCTCTCTCTCAATTTCAATGTTAATCATTCTCTTTTGGTATCCTCTTCACTTAATGCGTCTTTTAAGCTTTATATCCAATGTAAAGACTAGGGATTTAAATTTTATGAAATCAATAAGTAAATTATGGCAAATAAAACCATATTGGCATGTATAGATATTCACATGCCATCATGTTTAGCCTTTTAGCAGATGCGGTATGTCCCCTAGCTCAAGTAATCATATCCATGAATCAATTTCAAATTCATGGTTCATAGAGCATTAAGCACACAGGAAAAGGACACAGGAAAAGGAAAAGCCTTAGTGCACTGGAAGATGATAAATTGATGTGCAGCAACTTAGAAAGGGCTCAAACCCAAACTTGATCACAACTAAATTTAGTGGGGTGAGCTGGTAAATTGTTATATGGTTGAGGGGATGAGCATTTAAAAGAGTCCAAGCATCGGTGCATCCAATAAACACCAAATTTGTGCCTAATAACTACAAATACACTTGTACGATAATCATACCAGCATTTTCTTTACCATTATGGCAGAAGTTTTCATAGACAAACCAATATACAAGTTCAATCAATCCAACCAACATCTAGCACCCAAGCTAACCTACTACGAGTAGGAAAGAGTTATTTTGAGTTAGGTTTGGAGAATCTAAAAGCTCTGGATGGGTTAGAGCTTGCTTCCAACCCAACTCTCCAAATTGAAACCCCTCCTAAGATGAGCGCCACATATTCATCTATTAAAGCAACTGGTACAGTCCACTGGCTTCTCTTAAGTTTCATAAATTTCATGCATTTATAATCTTTCTTACTGGGATCATTGACATTATAACCCTAATAATGTACATTTAGATTTAGCAAATTCATGAAAGCATCCATAGGAGGCAAAACAGATAGAGAAACTTGCATAAGCAATGAAAATGAGGGCGAAAAAATAAATAAAATGAAATTAAAAATTAAAATGTACTTAAGACTGACCTTGTTATATATAGTCTAAAAGAGCAGTTTTGAAAAGCTTACCACGGAGCTCTCTTCGTCCTTATCAGAAGCCTTGTATAAACTGGCTGGCAATGAAACTGTATTAGCTATCTCTGAAACATCCGCTTGATCAGGAACTAACTTCTTTGTAATTGACAGTCCAAGATCCGATATAGCATGTGATGTCTGTAGTTTATGGGAAATGCAATTAGATTAACACATAGAAGCCTATAACACGCATTATAAATCGAATGCTTCCAGCATGCTAATGGCATAACACATCAGATCTTGAAAATGATGGTCACATACTCTTGACTTTGCACTATCAGCTGCATCTTCTGAACACTTTATACTACGGAAAATAGATACAACTGAAGTATAACTATCCTTTCTCCTGTCAGAACAAGCTCCCGATTGCCAACCTTCATCTCCAATTAACAGCACAGAAAGAAATAAATGCAACCGCCTGGAAGCTATAAGAAAATTAGCAAACTAGAAAAAAAATATTTATTACTTATGTTCATTGTATTAAATAATTTCAAACTTATTAAAAGTTGCTTGGCTGAAAGAAGAGTTGATGTAAAGAAAAACATTTGCATGCATTTTTAGTCTTTTTATGTTTGATTTGAGGCAAAGTTAGCGATGAAAAGTTATTTTATTTTATAGTTCATTTCCTTCACAAATATTGAATGTTCAAAAAGAATTAACAAAACCCTAAGTAGCTAATACCAAGAAAAAAAATAAAATCATCTACCCTAGTGAACCACACATCAAAAATATAATATCATGCAGGGAACGTCTTCAGCAGATACTGACGGTTCAGCAAGAAAATCTGAAAAATACAAATGTTTAATAACTTTCTTCAACTGACAAGAACTCATCAAAATATAAACATCAAAGCTATGCTGCAATCATGATCATTATTATCATTAGAATAATTTTTGGTTCATTTTTATCATCATTCTTCATCAGAATCACCTATACAGTCCAACTTAAATGTAGCCCCATATATTTTCCAAATCTTTTCTCAAAAACTGCACCTCAAATAAATTTACAGACACGATTACCTAGAATTAAGGGCTGTTAGTTTAGATTTATTTAGAACGTGTGCATTTTAGTATTGCAAAATAAAACAAATGTACCATATTTTATTAATCTGAAATTATTTGGTTAGATGTAAATCATGTACAGTAATATTTTTTTTTCTTATTTAGTTGGATGTAAAGCTTGGCTGAAACTACCAAAATGTCGATGCCACCAACACACTCAAACATGCCCAACCACAAACACCTGGTGTTTTCTCCAAATCACAACCCCTAACTCTTAGAAACAAAATAAAATAAACAAGAATGGATTTGGAGAAGCTGAACAAGGGGCCACAATTATCTACTATTGATCGAGTTAGCTAATTAGTGCATCAAGTTTTTTGGACCATGGTGTAAGCTTCGACACCCAACACAAATTCTATATTATCGAAGCCCCAGAGATCGGGAACTACTAAGCAAAAGTGATAGGTGGAAAGATCATGGATCTGATGGCATCTGAATTACCCATAGCACCAGCAATTCATGGAAGGAGAGAATCACGAAGCACTCACCCTTACAGTCATGTGCATCCTTATCCTGCTAAAATCCACTATCCATGAAGGATTCTGGCTTTTATGATTGTTGATCCCTTTCCTTGTCATATAGCTGGACTTTATTTGCATGTCTATATGGTATCTAGATAAGAGCAATGAAGAGAACTTTAAAGAGAAAGATAGGTGGTGTGAGAGCAGGCGGTGGAGATAGAGTGGGGAGGTGGAGCCAAATGAGGAGAGGCGATGAAGCTAAAACGAAAACAAATGATAGAGAGCTAGATCCTAAGCACAATCAAGAGATGAGCTCAAGGATCTCTAATGGAAGCAAAATTTTAAAGGGTGGCACAGCAGATGAAGAAGAACTTGGAATATGAGTAAGAATTAGAGTGAAAAGTTATTGTTGTGTAAGAGTTAACCTTATCTAACTCTCCAAACTTCTGATATCATCTTCTACATATGACACTCTTACCATCATAGCACCTTTCTTTATCTGAAGAATTGGATTTGATGGCCCTTCAGGCCTCATCCATGAATTTCAATCACTAGTTTAAATGTGACAATTGTCTAGTGTAGTCTATACGTATTTATCACATTGCATGTCAAAAGTCACAATCATTTAGGTAATCTTAAATTTGTTTTGCAATATATATATATATATATATATTGCGCATTTAATAATTTTTAGGATTTGCATGCGCAGACCGCCAATCCAGCATAAGCATTGACGGCCATGATAAAGACATTAAAAAAGAGAGGAAAGAGCAAAAGATATCCATGATGAATTTGAATATAATCTTTGGAAATTTTATGCAACATTTCTATATTATTCCCCTGCACAACTTAAATTCTGCAGTTTATAGTTTTGGAAAGTTCTAAAAGATCATAGACAAAATACCAGTTAAAACCAAGGTAATCATAATTAATTTTCCTATAAGCACCAAAGACAGTTGAATAACAAATTATTACAGACAAAATGACACAATCTTCAACCCACAAGGGAGCTATAGAAAATCCCATGAACAATCAAGTTTTCTATACCAAAACAGACAAGTCAAAAGAATAAACAAAATGGATAAAAATTCTGACACAAAAATTTGAGTCTACTCTAAAATAAAACTCTCCTTTTAATTAAAAAAATCTCTGAAAACATGTTATCTGGCTGCATGAAATATAGCGGAAACAGCATATTAGTGCCTCAATTTTAGCATGAGATTATATGCATTTCAGTGGCTAATACCATCATAATTTAATTACATAATATTTTATGAATTATTTTGATGCGAACATCCAACCGTCCATGCCTATTCGAGGAGGAGCTGAAGATCGACGGCCGAGATCCCTTCATTTTATCTTATTGGATTTTTAAGGAGTTTAAGATGATAATTGAAATCATTGAATTGCTTGGAGAAATACAGATTGAATATTTAGTAATATAAAAGAAATGAAGAGATAATGAAAAAGAGAAAAGCAGGGTCCATACCAGTAAATGGGTTCAAAGGCTGATAGCTCCAAGCACTCATCAATATTTGGGCATGATGGGTGGTGCGCAAGAGCATGAACCAAATAAACAAGAATACTCTCTGGATACATTACTGAGGAACTCACATCATTTTGCATAGAGATCTGTCGTTGTTTAAGTTGCTGACAAATTTGAACAACCTCCAGTAGATTATGTTTGGCCTAGGAAATAGGAAATGTCAGTAGAATAAATCTTAAATGGATAAAATAAGAACTTCAGATCGATACGGTTAAGGTATTTAAGAATATTCACCTCCTTATATTCAGGAGACTGATACTGGTTTATGTTTAACAAGAAAGCACAGGCATACTTCGCATCCAACAATCGATCCTTGATGTACTGATGCACTTTGCTGATGAATAATGTCCTAAACTGAGGGTATACATCCTGCAAATCATTAAATGACAATAAAAAAAAATTTCAAGATGCAAAAAGACAATGCTCATTACAGTTATTGATTGCCAAAGTATTGTGAATGGACCTCTGAAATCCTCAAGGTTATATAGAAGACGTCAAGAGGTATCATATGGTCCCACAGCCTTGACAACCGAAGGACAGATTTTGCTGCAGTAAGCCTCATATGCGCCTTGTCAACAGCACTAATAAAAGCCATTCAAGCTCAGCAAAATTAATGATTAAGAGCGAGAAAATAAATCAGAGAACTACATAAAGGCCAACTTTTATTGCTTTCCTTCGGTACCTTGATTCCACGTCTTTTGAGATATCACCATACGCTAGAACATTTCTGAGCAATGCCACAAGCTTATCAATCCCAGTTCGTGAAGGAGCATCTTTGGCAGGTAAATAACTCTTCACCAAAGTTTTGATGCCAAGCATCTGCAATATATAAATATAAGCGAAAAAGGAACTGAATCATGAAATTCATGTCACAAATAATAGAACAGAGAATCTTGATTAATATTAGAGTAGCACATGTTTTATAAATGGATAAGTGAATCCTGACAACACACTATTCAAACCTTTAATGAACAGAGTTCAGTTCTTTCATTCCAATCAATACCGTCCAAAGCAGCAGCCGTATCCTGAAGAAGAGGCCCAAACAATGTGCAATTAATAAAAACACAGCTTCAAATAAGTGAAGATTTTAGACTGGAAGAACCTACATTACTACGCTTCAAGACTTTCTTGGATATAAACTCCACAATTTCATCTTCCCTAGTTTCAAAAACTGGCATTGCAATTTGTGCTATACACCCAAGAGATTGCAATATGGATGGAAGGTGTGTTTTCTTCTCCAACATATCCACAAGCCTCTGCAACATTTAACAGTGTTGGATAACATTTAAGGCTTCATGAAACATCTATTCAAGAAGAACAAATGCGTTTCCAAAACCTTGTATAAAACAGAAAGTGACTTGAGACCATCATCTTTGGTTATTGCGGCTATAGCATGTACAGCAAATTTAGCTTGCTTGCGAGTACCCTCTAGACATAGCCGTTCTAGTACTAGATCAACAGGGCTGCAGATTAAAAGAAATGCTTGATGGAACAAATAAGAATCAATAATGAAGCATATATTTTTAATAACTTCCAATACAGATTCAAGATTTTACCTTGATGTCATAGCCAACTGTTCTCGAATGGTCCCTCCTGCTTTTGCTAAAACACGAGTAATTCCTTCTTTAATTATGTCATTGTCCTCCTTCAGCAGATGCACAAGATCCTCTTCGCACCCAATAAAAAGGTGGGGAGAAAAAGAAGCTATTACCTGCAAAGTTACAAATCAGACGATTAGAACCATGTGCTACAAACCAGCAATCTTACAAATAAAGAACAAGAAAACAGCTAGAAAAGAATAATACATGGCAGGAGAAGAATCTAAAATATACTATTACTTCGATTAAGTGAAACTGCCAAAACATGATTTAGGCTTCATTTGGGACGGTTTTTTTACTGCTTCTTAAAGCAGCTTTCTAGTACAAACATTTACTAGAAAGCTGCTTTAAGAAGCAATAAAAAAGCGGCCCCTTATATTCTCAGCATATCCTACTTGAGCTATGGAATATTTATTTGCAGCAAGCATACAAGAAAGCTTTCAGAATGTATGCTGTGCGCCAATTAGCAATAATGCCAATATGTAGTAATGTAATTGCACTGGAAACTAAAGCAATTTTCAAACACAATGTTACTTGGAGGGGTATCATATGTGTAGGATGGAGACTAAAGTTTTCTCACGAGTCAAAGTTCCTTAAAAGAAGACCGACATCTTACAAAATATTATTGCAAGGCAATCCAATCCAGTATGCTCAGCAAAAAAGTAGGCTAAAATGCCTGCAAGAAACAATGTACTGGTATAGTTTCTTAGGCACCTAGTTATCATTTTTAGTTCACTTAGGATAATCGAATCTTAATGGCATAAATTATGAATTTAAAGTTTAGAAATGATCTTTCTTTATTAGATTTAAACGAGAATTTGACTTTTAACAGGACAATGGAGAAAAAGGGTTCATGTAGCCAATCCCACATAGTGGGACAAATGCCTGTTGTTGTTGTTGTACCTAAATTGCAATGACAAACCAAGATAGTACAAAAAAAAGCTGAAAAAACCATTAATTCAAGATACAAACCAGCAATTGCAACTTGCAATAACATAGAAAATAGAGAAGATTGTTCATCGCCATGATAAATAAATTAGCAAATTTAGAAAGATAGGAGGAACAGAATAAAAATAAAGTGAAACCATGATCCATTAACATCATATTAGATCTTTTTCGCTTTCAAGCACCTTATTCATGGAACTCACAGAGAATGATCAATATTTAAATTTAATATTTACAAGTCAGACAACCATATGAAGAAGATGAGTATGCCTCACAATAGCATAACAGAAAAGCACAGCAGCTGCTTAAATGTAAGAAACAAAATATAGCCTACAGATTAGCATTTAATGAAAACAAATATGCATTCAAGTACACGAATTAAATCTTACCGTTAGTAGGTCCATGCATGACAAAATGAATTTTACATCACCAGAAGATCTTTGCTCGTCAGATTCTAAAATAATTTCCTTGACAAGCTCCTTGTTAAAGAATAAGTATGAGCACTTTACTGTAAGCATATCCATAAATTCATAAAGCGAATGCCTTTCTCCAAGGATCTTAAGCAACTCATCCTGCATTTCAAATTTTTTAGAAAAAGTTCAGGTCATCCCAAATCAGGCAAATTCTCTGTTACAATAAATAAAAGTAAAAAAAATGTAGCATTTATGGTAATTTAATATCCATTGTATGACTTGAAACTTGAAGCTCACAACATTTCACCAGAAAGAATGATTTTGTTTGCCAAGCATATCATGGCAGCCACTCATTACAGGTAAGATTTTTTTTTAAAACACTAAAGATGAGCTGAAGTAGCAAATACCCGGCATGACCAAGCTTGACAGAAACTGGTGTCTGGATCAAGCAAGATCATCATTAATTTCCATATATTCTGGTCTTTTAACTGATTAAGCATCTGAAAACCTTCCTCTGCCTTAGCAGCATCATGAAACATGCGGGACATAAAGCGGAAAAAACCATTAAGCTTCTTTTGGATCTCTGGGACATTATCCTGCTTCCAAGAAAGATTGCTTTTATGATGGAAAATTGTCAAAATTTTAATAAAATTAGTCCTTACGAACCTGACGGGTCTGTCTAAGAGTCAAATACTTCAGAAACTCTTGCTGTAACCTGCAATCCAACAGGAAATCACCTGAAAACCCGTGGAAAGCTATCAAATACTAGTGATGTATGCATGCACGCTGTTAAATTTTAAAAACTATGATGATCGATTATCACTAACCTTTGCTTCTGTAGCAGAATCTGCTCAAGTGCCTTCACTTCTACTCTCTCAAATGTAGAGAACACTTTAATCCAATGTTTTACTCTATCTCTAATTGCCAAATCACGGGGGAACAAAGAGCCGCACAAAATGAATTCAATTGTCTCTGGTCTGCAAATCACATATTTAAGTTACATGCTGATCACAAACAAAACATCCACAAGTAGATTAGACCTCGATGAGAACTACAACCCAAACAAGGAAAGTACCCAATCACCTCATTAATAACTAAAGTTTATTCATAGGATAAAAACAAGGGAAAAAATGATAAAGTTAAAAAATGCAATCATAATTGACTAAAAATTTAGCCACCAGTATCAGCAACAGTAGAACCTAAACCATTAAAGTGATATCATTTCTCATAGAAGTCAAATAGGCTGCACATATATCAGATATGGAAAGCATCACTAGTAGAGAGCTGGTTAAGCTAAAGAGACGAAAACAAACCTTGATAGTAGTAATATATTTTTCTAATATTAACACCTATAAAAAAAAGCAGGCACATTGAATCTTGAAAAGACCTCTCTACTATGTAGATGGGAAGGTTACGTACAGAAACCTATCCCCATAAACTAAAATGAGTAGGATCATCATGTAGTCAAGTTGCTTTTATATAGTCATCCACCAGAACAAAGTAACCCAAATAATACTCAAATGCTCCTGACAAACAATAGTACTTAGCCAACCAAAAAACTTTTATCTATCCTTCTAATCCTACTTAGGCTTCGTTTGGGACCGCTTTCTTACTGCTTCTTAAAGTTGCTTTTTAGTGTAAAAATTAAAATTTTTGTACTAGAAAGCAGCTTTAAGAAACAAAAAGAAAACCGTCCCAAACGAAGCTTTAGATGATATGGCGACCATCCATTCAAGAGATAAATGCTTAGTTGATGATGGGATTGATTACCGTTCTTTTTTAAGCTTTATCAATCAATTTTACTAATGAATAGTCACTAAAGAGTCATTCAAAGAAATGATAGCATGGTAGATTCCCATATAGGATACCAGTACAGAGAACGATAGCAAGCAGCTAAAAGGCTGTTATAAAATAATAAGCAACATATAACTGAACCAAAAAAAAATATAAATTATCAGAAGTAATGCATTAAACAAACTCTTATGTTTCTTACCTAAAATCTTTGTCATATAAGCACCGTAATACTCTGCCAGGTATCCATTCAAAATCATCATCATTTAACAAAGCATTTGTATGCTTCAAACAATAACATCTGTAAACATCAGCCAGCCTCCCCACGGTGTACCATTTGACAGAGAGCTAACCAAATACAAAAAATAAGAAAGTTTCAAAATTAGCCAGATATTGAAATAAATGAAGGCCTAAAATTAATGGCAATGAAGCAAGAGGGCAAACAGATTTGTCACGGAGGCGCTCTGCCACTATTTTAGCAGTTTCAACTGGTATGACTTTGACAGAATGGCATGCTAGATCACAAATTGCGGCAACAACATGCTTGCGAACATTTTCATCATAATCCAATAACCGATCTGAGAGAGCCTCTACAGAACAACCGTCAAGCACACGGTCACATATTATATTCAGAATTTATGTATCAAGAAAAACAAGAATAAATTTCTCTGCAACTTCTTACTAATTATCAGAGGAGCTTCAGGTCGGGAAGTGTTCAACATCAAGCAATTCTTCAAGTGTCCAATTACAGAAACACGAATATCAGCAACCCTATCAGTCAATCTTTTCACAAACTCAGAGAAAAGCGGCTGAAAAGATTCGGAAATAGGAATTCCTGATAAAGCAAATAGGTCTCCAAGTAGTTGGACTGCCTTCTGTCGAATGTCTAACTTATCTGCCTAAAAATTTGAGGAGGAGGATTATGGGAAGTGTTAAAATAATCGAAAAGAAAAAAAATGCCATTTTTTTCACATAGGGGTATGAATGTTAGATATCTGAAGGTCCTGAAATATCACAAGAATGCCCTTATGATAGGGCCTTTGCATATGGAATGAAGCATTTACCAGCAATTCTCCAGTCATAAATGGAATTATTCCAGAAAGAATTTGTGGAACACACTGATATAAATCATAAATGACTTCATGATAATCAAGTGTACTATTCAAGTTACTGCTATCTCCAGATAGTGATGAGATAAGAAAATGCCGTATGGAAGGTTCAAGCTTTCCAGCACAATGCTCTATCACATTCATAGCAAGCTTCCTGGCTGCCATTGTAAACTCCTAGTAACAAAAAAAAAAAAAAAAACTTAATTAATAAAGAACCCAAATATTGTTACCTAAATTAAAGTTCAGTTTCACATGTTAAAATTCAAATTAAATGAGAAGAAAGAACAGATAAATAATCAGTATAACTCACACTCCTTTTACGGCCCAAAGGAGACAATATGGTAACTAGTAGATTCTCCTGTATCTCCTCACTTTCATCAAGTATAAGGACCATGATTGTTTGCATTGAAGCACGAACGTTATTTGGATGCTCATCACTGCATGCAATGAGTCATCTTAGGTGTACATTTCCAGGTCAATGAATTCACATGAGAATAGCTAAAATCGTTAGAACATAAACATTGAAAACCTTTCACAAGTACGTCACAGCAGTCTCATATGAGAATGGCACAAAAAACATCACAGAATGCACTAAGCAGAGAGTTTATGCGGATCTAAGAACCATTCTGATAGGAAATACTTGATTTCAAGTATTTCCTAACCAAAGTCTGAAGCAAATCTCAAAGAATTCTGCTGTTTACAGCAGGAAAACAGCAAACAGTGGATCAAAACAGTAAATTCTGAGAGGAAATTGGAGAAAAAAATCACCCAAACACTTGTATTTCACTAGTAGATGAAAGAAAAATAGCAAAGATACAAAGATTCGAGAGGAGGATCGCACTCTCCCAATCTCTAGAATACGATCTAGAGCCCTAGCCACCAAAGAAAAACAAGAGAACCTTCAGAAAATTTCACATCAACTTAACCCTAGCATTTTCCCCCTACTTAATGCATGAAATTCAAAATTAATACAAAAGGACTTAATTGCCCTCGCCCCACCCCCTTTTGGCTCCAAGATTGATTTGAATCTCAAGTGGACCCCACCCTTTCCCCCTTCATTGAAGCCGCCGGCCCCCCCTGCTGTATACAAATCGGACCGGCCCAGGGGGCTGGACCGGTTCATGGAGGACCGGTCTAACATTACCGCCCTCCCAAAGAACCACATTGTCCTCAAGGTGGAAGTCAGGAAACTATTGCTTCATCCGCTCGTATGGCTCCCACATGGCCTCGTAGTCAGAAAGGTTCTTCCATTTGATCAAGACTTCTGTAGCTCCATCTGCTTTCTAACGAACCTCCATGAGCTCTAAAGGTTCCAATACCATTTCCATCTCATCAGTTAATGTCATTGGTAACTCCGAACTGGCATTATGATCTCCAATGGCTCTCCTCAGCTGAGATACATGGAAAACGGGGTGGATCGTCGCCGTAGGTGGTAGTTTCAAACGATATGCTACGGCTCCAATTTTCTCCAACACTTCATAAGGACCGAAGTACCTTGGAGCAAGCTTCTCATTCCTCCGGTTGGCGACCATTTTCTGTCGATAAGGACGGAGTTTCAGAAACACACTCTCGCCCACCTCAAACTGAATGTCCCTCTGATGTCCATCAGCTTATTTTTTCATAATCTGTTGAGCCCTCAACAGATGTCTTTTTAATTCTTCAAGCACCCTATCTCTCTCCTCCAAGTACTCCTCCACTGAAGAAACTGGAGTATTGCTACTTCCAAAATGCACCAAGTGGGGCGGATCCCTTCCATACAACACGTTGAACGGGATCATCTGAGAGGCTGAATGAAAAGAGGTATTGTACCAATACTCGGCCCATGATAACCATTTAGCCCATAGTTTAGGTGTCTCTGACGCAAAGCATCTCAAATAAGTCTTCAAGCTCCTGTTGACTACTTCAATTTGACCATCCGTCTGTGGGTGGCAAGCAGTACTCCTTTTCAGCATAGTCCCATGTAGTCTGAACAATTCTTTCCAAAAATGGCTGAGGAATACTTTATCCCTGTCTGATACTATCGCTTCTAGTAACCCATGTAATCTGACTATCTCTCGGATGAATGTAGATGCTACTGTCACCGCAGTATAGCGATGGCGAAGAGGGATGAAGTGAGCATATTTGCTCAGTCTATCCACTACCACCAAAATCACAGTGAATCCCTCAGAGAGGGGTAGCCCATCAATGAAGTCCATAGATACCTCCTCCCAGACTAGACCTGGTAAAGCTAATGGCTGCAGTAACCCCCCTGGTGACATAGCTAGATACTTATTCCTTTGGCAGACCTCGCACCTGGATACCATCTCTTCCACGTCTTTATGCATACCCTTCCAGTACAGCTCTGCCGCTAGTCTCATGTATGTCTTTAGCACTCCTGAATGACCTCCCACTGCAGTCCCATGGAACTCCTGGAGCAATTGTGGGATGTGAATTGATGTTCTGGGCAACACAAACCTCTCCTGATACAACAATCTCTCCCCCTCCAATGAGTACCCCGGATGGCTGCTCTCTTCCTTTAGTAAGTCCGCGCTGATCTTGCATAGTTCTTCATCCCTGACACTCTCTTCCTTGATGGCTTCCCAATCTAGCATCATTGGAACTGATACATCTATAGTCTGCAGCTCCCCCATACATCTGGACAAGGTATATGCTACCTTATTTTCTACCCCTGGCCTGTACTGAATCTCAAAATCATATCCCAGCAATTTGGATAGCCACTTCTGATGCTCCTCCGTCACCATGAGTTGTTCCAGCAAATATTTCAGGATTTGTTGGTCGGTCCTGACTATGAAATGTCTCCCGAGTAAGTAGGGGCGCCACTTTTGAATGGCCAAAACGATTGCCATTAATTCCCTCTCATAGACAGATTTCAGTCAGGCTCTTGCAATCAACACCTGACTGAAATAAGCAATGGCCTGTGATTCTGCATCAGCACTGCCCCTAATCCATACCCAGATGCATCTATCTCTACTATAAAGACCTGAGTGAAATCTAGCAAAGCTAAGACCGATACTGTGATCATAGCTTTCTTCAACTTCTCAAATGTTGTCGTGGCTGCCTCCCCCCATAGGAATCCATCTTTCTTCAACTGTTCAGTGAGTGGCCAAGCTATAGTGTTGTATCCCTTCACAAATCTCCTGTAGTACCCTGTAAGCCCTAGGAATCCCCTCAACTCCTTCAGATTTTTAGGCAGTGGCCACTTTAACATGGCTTCAATCATGGACTGATCTGCTGCTACCCTTTCCTTAGATACCATGTGCCCCAAGTACTCCACACTGGCTTGTGCGAAGCAACACTTTTTTAAGTTAGCCCTCAACTGGTGCTCCTGAAGAACTTCTAACACATTCTTCAAATGCTCCCAATGCTCCTCCTCTGTTCTGCTATACACTAGGATGTCATCGAAGAATACTAAAATAAATCGCCTAAGATATTGTTTGAAGATCTTGTTCATGAGTGCTTGGAAGGTGGCTGGGGCATTGGTGAGGCCAAAGGGCATCACTAGGAACTCATAGTGGCCCTCATGAGTTCTAAAAGTGTTCTTCGGAACATCTTCTTTCTTCATTCGAATTTGATGATATCCTGATTTCAAGTCGACCTTGCTGAAGATCACTGTTCCACTCAATTCATCTAACAGTTCGTCAATCACTGGTATGGGAAACTTATCAGGTACAGTTTCCTTGTTAAGTGCACGGTAGTCCACATAGAACCGCCAGCTGCCATCTTTTTTCTTCACCAATAGAACAGGACTAGAGAACGGGCTGGTGCTGGGCCTGATGATCCCTGCTTCCAGCATTTCTCTGATCAACTTTTCTATTTCGTCCTTCTGAAAATGAGGGTAATGGTAAGGTAGCACGCTGACAGGTGACACTATCTCCTTCAATGTGATGGCATACTCCTGCTCCCTGGGTGGTGGCAACCCTTGAGGGGGTTGAAAAACCTCATAAAATTCCTGGATAAAAGGTTGCACAGAGAGAGGTATGTCTTCCCCTTCCTCCAATCTATGTAATTCCACCCAATAGCCTTCCCCCTCCTCCTGAATTGTTTTAATTAGGGATTTGAGAGAAACCCCTGCCTTGGTCAGCCCCGCATCCCCTTGAATCACTCTCTTCCTTCCTCCCTTCACCAACTCCATCCTCAGAGTACCCCAATTGATCTTGGTTTCCCCCAAAGTGTGCAACCACTTCATCCCTATGATGACATCCGTACTCCCCAATTCTAGGGGAAGGAAGTCTTCCTTCACTGGGATACCTTAAATCTTCAGCACCACCCCTCTACAGACTCCTCTTCCCAGTTCTACCTTTCTCATGTCCATCATCACCCCATAGCCTCCTGTATCTACTAACTCCAACCCCAGCAGCTCCACCATCTGGATGGAAATGAAATTGTGGGTTGCCTCACTATCAATCAACACCACAACTTCACGGTCAGCTATCTCTCCTTTCATCTTCATAGTGTGACTCGGAGTGAATCCCACTACAGAGTTAAGAGAGACTTCCGCTACATTCAGATGCAACTTTTCCTCCTCCACCTCAGGACCGCTTCCCCCTCCCTCTTCGTCTTCCTTGTCTTCACAAACGAGGATAACTTGAAGATTTCAATACTTGCACTTATGCCCTGACATGTATTTTTCGTCACATCGGAAACACATCCCTTTTGTTTTATTCTCTTGTATTTCCTTCTCAGTAAGCTTCTTGAATTGCCCCCCATTTCCTCCTCCTGTTGCTTTTTTCCTTCGGAACTTCTTTCATCCCTCCTGTGGACGCTCCCTTGCAGGCTAGGCGGGTAGTAATCCACCTGTAAGTGCCTCCTGAACTGCTGTTCCCGTCTTCCTCTTCACAAACGAGGATAACTTGAAGATTTCAATACTTGCACTTATGCCCTGGCACATCGGAAACACAGCCCCTTTGTCCTCTTCTCTTGCATTTCCTTCTAAGTGAGCTTCTTGAATTGCCCCCCATTCCCCCCCCTGTTGTTTTTTTCCTTCAGAACTTCTTTCATTCCTCCTGGGGGCGCTCCCTTGGAGGCTAGGTGGGTAGTCGTCCACCTGTAGGTGCCTCCTTAACTGCTGCTCCTAGCTCCCTTCTCCATATTCTTTTGATTTTCGACCAGTTGTGCAAGCTTCATGGCCTCCCCCAGGTCCCTGGGCATCAGGACCTTCACCGCTGCTCTAATCTTTGCCTTTAATCCCTTCATGAAGTTTCCCTCCAGCACAATATCGGACAGGCGCTCCACCCTACTAGCCAGATGCTCAAATCTCTCTCGGTAGTCCGCTACAGACCCTTCCTGCACTAGGGCAAAGAACTGCTCGTAGAAGTCTCCTCCCTGGTCGGTTTGGCAACGCTCTATCAAACTGTCCTTGAATTCTTCCCAGCTCCGGATTGGTCTTCTCTGATCTCTCCACAGGTACCAAGAGAGTGCCTTCCCTTCCAGACACAAGCCCGTTGCCGATAATTTCTCCTCCTCCGTTAAGCCGTTAACGACAAAGTACCTCTCCACCTTGTAGATCCACCCATAGGCATCCACCCCTTCAAAAATGGGCATTTTTAATTTTCTCACCTTCTGATCCCCGCCATTTCCCCTTATTCCTCCGTAGTTTCCCCTCTCTCATGTTCCTAGGCCTCCCCATGTCTCCTGATCTTCCCTTGCTCTACCATGCCCCCATCCCCCTTCAAGATCCCCTCTCCAATCTTCAAAAACAGCCCCGTGGCGTCCATAATAACCCCCCCCCCGTGCCCCAACCAGCACCTCTTGGCTCCACGCCTCCATACCCTTGCCTTTCCCCGTATCTTCCTCCTCTCTCCTCCCTTTGGAAAGGCTCCAAATGAGGTCTACCCCTACTCCCTTCCACGATTTCCACTTCCTCTTCCTCCCTATGGATTTCCGAGTTGGTGTTTTCGCTTCAAGCCCTTTTGCATCCGACGCCGCCGATTGAGTTTGAAACTCCAACATCTTCTTTATCATATCCCATAGGTCGGCCACTTGCCCTTCCATGGACGAAATCCTTTCCTCCACGGTCTCCTTGATTTGATTCATCTCTCCTTCAAGCCTCTTTTCCAAAGCATCCACCTTCTTAGCCGTCATCTCCTACGGCTTGAAATTTTTTAGACGAACTCTAGATCTGAAAAAAAAAATTCAGCAATTTCCACTTTGCCGGCACAAATTTCAGCCGCTGAAATCTGTCAAAAACAGCCAATGATTGGTCCCAAGACTTGCTCTGATACCCTAAACCCTATTTCCTAACCAAAGTCTGAAGCAAATCTCAAGGAATTCTGCTGTTTACAGCAGGAAAACAGCAAACAGTGTATCAAAACAGTAAAATTCTGAGAGGAAATTGGAGAAAAAAATCACCCAAACATTTGTATTTCACTAGTAGATGAAAGAAAAATAGCAAAGATACAAAGATCCTCTATTCGAGAGGAGGATCGTACTCTCCCAATCTCTAGAATATGATCTAGAGCCCTAGCCACCAAAGAAAAACAAGAGAACCTTCAGAAAATTTCACATCAACCTAACCCTAGCCTTTTTCCCCTACTTAATGCATGAAATTCAAAATTAATACAAAAAACACCCTTTCCCCCTTCATTGAAGCCGCCAGCCCCCCTGCTGTATACAAATCGGACCAGCCCAGGGGGCTGGGCCGGCTGGACCAGTCCATGGAGGACCGGTCTAACACATTCTTTGAAAGCAAAAGCCTATTTGTCAAGAGCAAAAAATGAAGAATGCCGTAATACAAGGAGAAATGAAATGAAGCAAAAATCCAGGTTTTTGCCCAATGAAATACATCCTGAATTGCAAAATCTGAAAACGTTGCACGGCATGCTTCCATGAGTTCGCATTTAGCTGCAAATAAAACAAAATTTTAAACTGCTAATTCAATCATCTACGCATCACTGTAACTAGTTAATCATCCTCCTCCCAGTCTTCCCAAGTTAAAATTATATTGGGTGATAACATTAGAGCTTTTGCTGCTTTGAGTACTGATCATGTAAGAGCAGTAAAATACAATGAAAGGGATGAAGGGTTTTACATAATTCTGTAAGAAAAAATAATGAGTTTTCATATCATCTTTTCTTTTTCTTCTTTTGGCACTTTTTCTATAAGCCCTACTTCGCTTAACACAATTTCCAAAATGATCTACCAAGAATTTCTTGGATGCTTCCATGCCAAGTAACACCAGCACTAAGCAGAGCTCGTCACAGAAACTTTCTACAGCAGTATTTCAGCCCTTTTTCTAGAAATGTTCACAATGCCAGCTGCCTCTAAATTGGGGCTGTTGAATCTTTGTAACCATTCAGTCTTTAGCTAAAATCATAGTAATGGTCTCCAATTCGTTAAGGGATAATAATATATTAAAAAAAAGACAATATTAGAATTTAAAACCAACTAATAAAGACATGATCGAAATAATCAAAGAGTTTCAGCAAGAAATTGGATATATATAAAATCAGCAAGCAAATACAATTTAATTTTCAAAAAATATATTTATGATATGACATTTTTTTATCAAAATCAATCGTAGAACAAAATAATATAGAATTGTGTGCATGAAATGCCAGCTATATATATATATATATATAATCTACACACAATAGCTTTACAACTCTACATTTAAAAATAAAGAACAAAACTCGGATCTAAATTCAAAACCTTACCTGACAACACTGAAAAAAATTTGGAACATATCATTTATGAGGTCATAACACTCAAGATCCAACATCACAACACATGATCTGTATCTTGCAAGTGTCTCCAGGATTATAACCGTCCTCTTAAAAGATGGAGTGTTAGTATCCTTTAAACCGCTAAATGTACTTACAATCAAATCAAAAATGTCCTGCAATAAAAAAGGTAAAACTTGTAATGAGGATTTATGATATAAAAATTACCTAGAAAATACATGTAATAATATCACACAAGCTCATTTCTAAAGATATTAGAATAAATTAATTCTCCTAAGAAGAAAATACCCTGAGAACATCATCACTATAAGGTGCTTCAGGAGCTGTTATCCGAGTGATCTCACAAATACATGCTGCCACAAGAACTCTCACATCCCTATCTTGGTGCTTTAAAACATCTTCTTTTGCAATTGCATCAAAACATGGCTTCATTGCACCCAGCATAGAAGGTGGTGGTGATTGTTCCAATTCAGATAGACAGTTTTCCGCTTGCTACAAAATGAAATCACAAGGACAGATCATTTTATAAAACAAAGCTGCTGCATGCATTAAAAAGAGTATTCATGGCATAAGAACATTTTCACTGAGTGTTTTCTGTATATATCTAGCTATTTCAAATCCAAAAGCTCGTTTCTATAGTTCCACATTGTAGAAAACAAAATTATTAGAAGTTTACATTTAATCTAGTTCAAGTCCTGCTGAATTCTAGCTGAATTAGGTTTTTAGACATGCCTATGAGCAGGTAAAGGGCCAACTGGATTTTCTGAACTGTCGGCTTCATTAAGCATCGATTCTAATTAATTCTGCTCATTTATTTATTTTGTTCAAGAACATCTTCAGAGATATCCAAGACACATCATATTCTCTTATACACAGCTAGCCAAGGCCAACCAAACCTCTACTATCTCAAGTATGAGAGAAACTCAACAAATAAATATTTTTTGCATATCATCAAAATTTTATCCTAGCATTTCCTATTCTCCAATGACTATGGAAGCAATATTTCATGCATGAGACCAACAGAATCATGCATGAGACCACTGGCATGTTCATACACGAGAGACCCCAATCCCAAAGTAAATACTCCGCGCATGTCATGACTGATATACTTCTATTCTTTCATGCAACTCGGTCCTCCAAAAGAATACTTTTGGCTTGTCAAGCATAGAGCATATCCACTTTTTCCTAGTCATTCATTCTATCTTGAGGAGCAAAGCTCCATTATTCCGTACATTCCTAAAAATATTCACATTGTTGCACTTAGTGCATAGCTGCTTTCTCCTAGTCCTTCCTACTTTCTCTATGAATTGGATTACATGATTCCAAACATTGATCATATATGCCTTACTACATTTATTTTTAGTAATCAATCATCCAATTCATTTGTCCTAAACATTGATGCAGCACATCATGTGGATGAAGATAATCAAGTTAAAAGTCCAACTATAAGAGTTAAGACAAAAACACGTGTTCTAAACTCTTCACAACTCTTTTCCAACTTCATAAGCATTCTCTAAGACTGATAAATCAGCATACAAAACCTTAAACTCACTCTAAATACTTCCACATAGTCACCAGCCCAATTAGGGAACACTTGGATCTAGTTTTAATCCCTACACTTTGAAATCCTCTTCAACCCCATCAAACTCTACCATCAACTCTAAATCATAAGTTCACTTCCTAAGCTAATCTTATACAATCATCTCCCGTCATTTATCCCTCATAAAAGTCCTCCCAAAAATGATCTTCCAAATTAGTCCAAATTGGACAAGTCTTGGAATTCCTACTTAGTGTCAAAAATTGACCCGAGCCGAAATCTAACCCGGACCTGAGCCAAAAACTTTCAGGTTCGGGTCAACCCGTTTACCAAACGGATCGGGTTCGGGTTTCGTTTCTTGGCCCGTTTATAAAATTATGTCGGGTTCGGGTTGACCCGGAAACCCAAACTCAACCCGAGTTGACCCAAGAACTCGCACCGTCTCGCTCAGTCGCTCACGTGACTCGCATACACAGTTGCCTAACCATAAGGCCCTCACGGCTGAACTGGACTCCACCGGCACAGCCGAACAGCCTGCACACCGTACCGAAGTCCTCTCGCTCGCCCCAACCTGCACAACGCCGCCTACCGGCAACAAGCTCTCCTCACGTGGTCTTGCCCTGACCGTGGTCGTCATTGCCTACATACCACGCTGAGCCGTCGACCGTTGTCGCCCGCTCCGCAGTCGCACTCGCTGGTTTTGAATCAAACGGGTCCACGGGTCGGGTCCAATCGGATCAACCCAGTAACCTGCGTGGGTCGGGTCCGGGTTGAAATAACTGACATGTTTGCAAAAATGAGTGGGGTTTGGGTTGGGTCAACTAGTGTTAGGTCAGTTCCGAGTTGGACCTGAACTTGCCCCGTGACCCGATTTTGATAGCCCTATTCCTACTAAGACACCCTCTAAACTCCTCATCATTTTACCATAAACTCCTTAATACCTCTATAAATATCAAACTAAAGATCTATAATTTTGCTAACCATTAATCTTACCAAATGACTACCCACCACCATCAAACACCATATCCATTGAGACCTATCAATATTCCCCTGAACATAAATTTAGATGGATCCCGAGATTATCACTTAAGGATGCAAAGGTGCGAGGCTTTGTTGGATTCTTATGGGAAGAGCACATGAGCTTCTACACTAAGATCATTGGAAAAGCCCTTTTTTTAAGTGGGACAAAAGTTTTTGTTCATTTAAATTTTTAACTTTTTATAGTGATCGTCATCCTAGTTGATTACCATTACTTTCATAGCACTATTCATATGTACTTTTACAGTATAACTTCGTAATAGTTTGTAGTAAAATTTGTTCAAACTTCTAAGGTTATATAAAAAGTGGTCAATTATTAGGATATGAAAAAAAAAAGGTCAAGCAATTTAGGTTTGGCAAACTGCAAAGACTTCTAAAGACACAAAAATTAATAGTTCCTCGGAACAATTTGAACAAGTGAGTTCAAATAAGTTAAAAATCTTAGAGCAATTGATGAGTTCAATTAAGTAAATACAGTTTAAGCTAAAATATTATAATAAAAAAACAAAACAATTAACAGGAGAGCTTCAGAAAATTGACTTCTGCTTGTCTCTCGAGTCACAGCCCATTGAAAAAGGAGAATGATCACCTCACAAACAAAAAATTAATGAAACTCTAGTCCATGCAAGCTTCATTCTTCATGGAAAATCTCCCTCAGGTTAATGACCAGTATCCCCTACCTCAGATGGTTGTTTCATTCACCCCAAGCAAAACAATTGCCCTTCTAATCACAGAATGTAACCCAATAAACACCAAAGGTACGCCATTTTGCATCAAAGAAGCAATTTTGCGTTAAAAATGTAAAGGATACCGAATCACTCTTTGGACTACATCCACATTACATACGTTCAATGCTTATTAGCATGCCGTGATGGAAAGAAGGCCAATGAAAATCACCAACAAAAATAAATTCCAGTTCATCGCTTCGAATAAATTCACCAACTGAACCCTAGCTCTAACCCAAATACGGCACCCACGCATGGATAACCTCAGGAACGAACTAACATAACATCAAAATGGATCTAATAAGATGATTTAAACACAAACAAAAGCTCGGATCCGCCGCAGATAAATTGGGAGAAAAGGAAAAAACCCACCTTTAAGAGTTTGATCAGCGCATCCTTTGAAGCTGGTTGACTCTGAAGTTTCGAACCAACTTCTCTCAACTGCTGCTGCAGCTTTTGCGCCATGTCTTACTCCCCAATGGAGAACTGAGAGACAAGGGGGGAGCGAAGAGATGAAAGAAAATGTTTTTCTTACTTCAGTTTTTCATTCTACACGGCTACTAGGTCGGAAATGGAACCACTGAAGTCTCGGAGCTTTCATCCGACCTTTGTGCTCATCGATCGTGAGATGAGCGAGCCGGTGCCTATGAGTAGACGATTGCTTCAGAATAGTTCGATCGCAAAGTAAGCCTCGAATTTGGAAGTTATTACGGGATTAGCCTTTTTAATAACCGGTGGATCCTGTTTTGTGGTTATCCAGTAGTCGTTACCCTGACATATAACAGCAACTGTAAATTACATTTTGTTTATGATGATGATGATAACAACAATAATAAGTTAATAAGATTTTATTTTACTATATAGGGTCTATTATATTTTTTTATTGTGTCTTATTAATAATCAAATTCTCGTCTAAATCTAATAAAGTAATGTCATTTCTAATATTTTATTATTAAGTCTTTTTAGGTCTACCTCTATCTTTTTTAATATAAGTCAAATTTAATACATCTACTTTTCTAATCAGGTCATCAAAAGGTCGTTATTTTATATGACCAAACCATCTAAGACTTCTCTCTAATCTTATCTTCCACTAGGCTACTCCAACATGTTTATGTATATGCTCATTTTGTATCCTATCTTTAAGAGTAAGTCACTCATCCACCTGAGCATCCTCATCTCTGCAACACTTAACTTAATATTATTCTTCTTTTTTAATTGCGAACATTCTGCACCACAAAGCATTGCAGGTCTCACTACCATCTTATAGAATTTTCCCTTAAGTTTGAGATGGACTTTTCTATCACATAACAAGCCAGATGCATTCCTTCACTTCAACCATCCAACTCTTGAATTCTACTAGGAATATCCCTATCTATTTCACCATCACTCTAAACAATAAATCCAAGATATCTAAAATGTGTGCTCTTATTAATGACTTGATCGCCCAAAGTCGCAATCCCTCCACTAGATCTGTGTTGACCTCATTTTTGTATGAGATTCCTAAGATCTATTCAAACTCTAAGATTTATCCAAACCCTAGATCTATCCAGAACCTAGATCTATCAAGATCCTAGCAGATCTTAGGATTTATCCATACCATAAATATACCTAGTCCCTAGGATCAATCCATAATCAAATCAAGCCCAAACTTCAAACCCACACAAATCTTAATTACAGCTTAAACATTGATCCAGCCTCCAATCTAGCTTCAACCATATCCAATCACTTATGATCATCTAAATGATAATAAATTATTTGGATAATTTAATTCCAATCTTTCAAAACCAAAACTCATCTAAGTCCAGAAATCTAGGCAAAAATTCAAGGGTAAAATATTATGTCATGAAAGTCTTTTTCAGTGATTTTTTAAATACTTCAAACCTCAATCAAATGACTCCCAATTAAATCTATCAATTGCATATTGATTAGCATGTCCCTAAGGTTTACCCTTCGATTTTGAGTTCAATCTAAGGCCTCTGACCTTAGAAACTGTAATGAAATCCAAATATTGTAAAACCTTCAAATATTTATAGTTTATGCCACTAGACTTGTCCCCTACTGGAATTTGACCTTAAAGCCTTCTCTAAATCCTCTAGCCACATTCACACCCTTGATTCTGACATGTTGAGCACCAAACTGCATTTTGGTGGACCCACTTTGACCCCGAATCAACCAGGGGTCAAAATGATAAAAAAATACCCCTTAAGGGAAATTTTGGAGTTTTCTATAGACTTCAACATGACATTTTCAAATCAAGCCTCAAAACATTTTCAATGCATTCTAATCATATTATGAATACATTGGACTCAAGCCCTGACCTAGATAAACTTGGTTGATCAGGTCAACCAATTTTGACCAAAATACCCCTTAAGTTTTAAATATTCATTTCAAATCAAATGGCCTCCTCTTTGCATGAGACCAATTCCAACAGATTTCAAACATCAAATCAAACCTGTTGGATCCAAATCCAAGTCTTAGATCAACCTATGTTGACCAAACAAACCATTTAAGCTTCAAACAGTCAATTTGTCTAAAATGACTTCTCCGGGCCCTAGGACCACCTCCAATGGTCTCAAAAATATTATTTCAAACATGTTGAGTCCATACCCAGCTTATGGGTCAACCTGGTTGACCCAATAATCCCTTAAGGCTTTAAATGGGTCATTTCAACTCATTTAATCAAATCAAACTATTCAAGCTCTCAAACCCATTTCAAAGGATAGTTCAAACATATTCAAGTTCATTTGGAGTCAAATAATTGATTTTGTCAAATTATTAAACCTAGTCAAACTAGTTCTATATGTATTCAAACCATGTCGTCCAATCAACTCTATTGATTTTTCTCTTATTAAGCCTTAAATCAATTTTAATTCATGATTCAAACTTTTTTAAACTTATTTGGAGTCAAGTCACACTTGCCTTGACTTGGTCAACTCACAAGTAATGGTCAAACTTTCATTCACATGCTCAAAATTTAATCCCTTAACTTGAATCTTCACCCAACCTATCCTACCAGCTTATCAAGCCATCCTAGGATAGATCCCAGAACGACATGAAAACTTCAATATTTAAACTTAGTGACATCTAAAACATCACTGAATTTTCTAGGAGTTTTTAGGGCTAGTTAGACCCCTTAGATAACCAATGTTGTGTGATAGAAAAGTCTCTATCAAATTCAAGAGAAAATCCTAGAGGATGGTGGTGAAACCTGCAGTTTTTTATGGTGCAAAATTTTGGCCATTGAAAAGGAAGCATAATATTAAGTTAAGTGTTGCTGTGATGAGGATGCTCAGTTGGTTGAGTGGCTTTACTCTTAGATACGGGATACGAAATGAGCATATATGTGAAAGTTTGGAGTAGCTCTAATGAGAGAGAAAATCATGCAAAGTTGCCTTAAATTAGTTGGTCATATAAAATGGGGGCCTTCCGATGACCTGGTTAGGATAGTAGATGTATTCGGTTTGGCTTATATTAAGAAATGTAGAGGTAGGCCTAAAAAGTGTTTGTTAGAAAATATTAGAAATGATCTCTCTTTATTAGATTTAAATAAGAATTTGACTCTCAACCAGACAAAATGGAGAAAAATGACTCATGTAGCCAACCCCACGTAGTTGGATAACGGCTTGATGTTGTTATTAATGTTATTGCATGTGCACGATATAATATTCAATAATTGTAATGAAACAAAAGAAAAATGTAAATTGCATTAGAAGAAGCGTAATCAACCACTTAGTTGCTTTTCGTGAGGTGAAATCTTTTTCAAATTTCCTTGGTTCTTAAGTAACCTTCTTTAGTCTTTCACCTAAAACCAGGACATAATTATGTAAAAAAAGGAAATAATTATGTAAATTTTACACCAATAATTGAAACTATATTTTTTACCTCAAAATAAATCTCCATTTACATTTTAAAATCTAACCTAAATTTTCTGAAGAATCTTGGCTTAGTTCGGGTGCTTTGTCATAGTTCGATAGTTAAATTTCATTTCCTGTCAGAAATAATACTACTTGTATTAGATTTTATTAGTATTATCCTAAGATGTCAACTGTTGCCAAAATAACATTGGATATATTAGATGCCTTGACAATAACATCAAATGCATCAAATATTATTAAAGCATCGTCATAGGACTTCAAATAATCATTTCATTCATTTTTTTAAATAATTTATTATATCCTAGAATATGATTAAAATGAGGCTGATACTGTTTATATTACTTCTGATTTCTTTCTCGTCGAAAGGAGACATTCAGTTACTTGATTTCTTTCTATTCTTTCTATTGAATAATCACATACCATTGTTTCAATTAAAGGAATAAAATTCATGCAAATTTTCTTTTTTAAATTTGAATGGAAAATGATAAATTTAAATCAATTACACTTTCTCTGAGTTAGATGCAGAAACGTCTGAATCCCTCTTCTTCCTCTTGCTGAGTGCCAACAATTTCGGCAACCACAATAGAAAAATTTCTTCTCCTTCTCCAATTTCTTTTTCACACAAATTCCTCATGATCGTTGCTCCCACTCTTCCTTTTTCTCATTTGGCTTAATTAGATGGAGCAAAATGGAGATATCCCTAGCGAGGAGTTGCGCATCTTCACTTTCGAATGCATTACATTGCTCAGTTCACTCGGCCCGCTCGCGCTCAATCACTCACCAACATTCAGTCGCTTGATCGCACTGTAGTTAGGGGACTAGTTCAATTGCTTGGTTCAATAAACAATCGGTAATTTCAAGATCTCTTCTCTATGAGCTCCAAAACTATAGCTTTGAGGACTTGAGGTGCAAGCTGATGAGGACAATTGTGTGACTCCCTCACACATCCCTTGACTCCCTCAAGGAACAATCCCTCAACCTCACATTTTCTCTCTCATGTGGATTGGATACTCTCAAATGAAAGAGACCTCTCTCCCTCTCCAAAGTACTCTCATAGATAAAAACATCTTATGTTATTTACTTATCCCACTCTCATGTGTTAAAAAGAATTAAATTGTACTATTTAAATTAAACCATAATTTTAAATTATGTTGTTATGATTGTATAATACGAACTACTTATCATACTGTCTAATTAGTTGAACACTCATTTTTTAGTTATGTTTAATCGGATTGTAAGATTAATAATCGTTCAATATGATCAACTATATAAAATCAAGGTTCGCTAGGATAAACCCAAACTTGTCCAACAAATGTTCTGTTAAATCATATTGGCCGATGTGAATCAGAAAGTGCGATTGCCAATCAAATTTGATCATGATTCGATTGCATGATCAACGATCCAAATTAGACAATATTCATTAATAATCATATAGTACGAAATCTTTTGTACAATACGATCATATCAAATTTTAAAATTCAAATGTGCTTAATTTTGAAAATTCAGATTTAATAGCTGGGTTTTTATCAAAATAACTTATCGTCCTATATGATCTCAGGTCGTAAATTACGATTAGTTATGTTGGATGTTAATTTAATTAAACACTTGATTTCATTTTATAGATTCGGATTGTATATTATGATTGATATCTTATGATACGATTTAATAGAGAATTTAAGTGTTTAATTTTCATCCCCACTCATGAGGGTGTGTACGGTTGTTTTGCCAACATATCTAAGCATATAAAGGATTAAAGAAAAAGAAAACTCAACTTTTGTTACAAGTTT